GGGCGCGCCTGCCCTCGGCGCGGCCGCAGCCGCTGGGGGAAGGAAGAGGCGTTTCCAGCCCTGCTGGGTGGGGGGCCTGTTCACCGCCCGAGTGCAGAAATCTGGGGCAGCCGCCCCTGTGTTTGCGCGGTGGGGGAAAAAAGGGAAAAAAAAAAATTTAGAAGCTTATGAGTTTCAGTAAAATGCAGTTGTATAACAAGTTTGGTGGAGTTCCAGGAAAAAAAGGATACTGGGAAGGGCCTGTTCACCGCCCGAGTGCAGAAATCTGGGGCAGCCGCCCCTGTGTTTGCGCGGTGGGGGAAAAAAGGGAAAAAAAAAAATTTAGAAGCTTATGAGTTTCAGTAAAATGCAGTTGTATAACAAGTTTGGTGGAGTTCCAGGAAAAAAAGGATACTGGGAATGCAGTAGATGGTCACGTCCCTACCTCTGCAGACTCACTTTTTATATATAAGTTAGTGAATATATCGTGGAGTCTGGTGTGGCGGATGGTAAACTGGCTTCTGGTAATGGTGCTTGACAGAAATCCTTGAATATCTATTGTGAAAGGTGTTCACCTGATCCATGTTAAATAAGTCAAATAAGTCAAATACCGAAACTGGCGCATGTCTTGGTGGAGCAGAGACTCCCGGCGTGCCCAGTGCTGTTTGCTTGCTTCCATTCCCTTAATTGTAGATTTGAATTAAAATCCCATTTGGGACCGAGTAATTTATCACATCTATTGAGGTCTTTTCAGAAGGCAAGACAAAGACAATTAAGAACTACTTTATAATGCCATACTCACCACAAAAATTGAGCTAGGAAGAGGAGAAAAAAAAAGGGGGAGATTATAAATTTGTCAGTCATATTAAATACAGTGTGTCCTTTGATATGTGCTAAGGAAAATATCTGTAACTGTTGGTTTTTTTCCTAGAAGATCTCTTTAGGCTTTTCCTTTGTTCCCGTGCTTCTTTATCCTTGCTGAGTGTCAGCAGCAGAGAGCTTCTTTATACACTGCACAGAAGACTTTATGGAAACTTTGTTAGGTTAGGCAAATTAGGTTATAAATTTTGCTACTTCTCTATAGGATTTGGGATGATTCAGAGAGAAGTCAAAACTATGCCTGAAACACTGTGTAGTTAATTGAAAAAGAACTAAATAAGTATTTTAAAATATTACATTGTTTAGACAAAGGGCTTATTTCTGGTCCATTTTATCAGTGACTGGATCATAGAAAGACCTGCTGAGTACACAAAGAAATTCTTGACAAGTTTGAAATTGAGACTCTATATCCAGGTAACATTGAAATTCAATTAATCACCATTAGGAGATAATAAATATCTGTTTTTATTTTCCGTTACTTAAGTATTTCCCCATTACTTTTCTATATTAATTTCTCTCCAATCTAGAGAAACTGCAGTGACTGGAAATATTACTGATTATAAGCATTAGATAGTTGATAGTGCAAAACTTTAGTTTATAGGCTAAAGGGATTTTGAAAGCAAATTAAAAGAGAAAACGCTAAATGCTAGGACAACTAGAAATGATCAGCTGAATTTTCAGCTTTCAACCATAGCTATTACATAGCATTCTCTTAACCTCATTTTGCCGTCAAAGAGATCTCAGGTGGCATTCAAAAGAAATGTCTCCACTGTTGACTATAAAATTTGAAGTACTTTGGCATTTTATTTTGATGATGATACAACCTTTCAGTCTGCACCACCTATCAGGGGAATCTTAAGCTTGTCTTACAATCGTGTCTAGGTTATTTCAATTATTTATCTTTGCCCTACATTCAGAGCTTGAGTCTCTGAATAATGTCATCAAAGTGAATGTGACTGGGTTTTGAGTACACAGTTGGGTGTAAGGCGGGAGACACTGACTCATGAGACCTTGAAATAATCACTCAGACCAGCAATTTATCCTCTCAGCCAGAGGGAGGAGTTGGACATCCAAGAGCAAAACCTAGGAAGTGAATTTTTATTATGTGCTTCAGAAGACCCTGCTCTTACATATTGAAAAGGAAAGCAGTCTATCTGAAAACTCCCTGTTGTTGTGTCACCAGCGGTGTTTTAGTCAGTTCTGCCCAGTATTGCTCATGTAAGCATAATATTTCCAGCCTGTCAGTTTTTGTTGGATTTGTAGGAATGTTGCAATGATCTCTGCTCTTATTTACCTCCACTTGCTCTGGCAACAGCACACCAAAATGAAAAGCATACCTTGCATAAATCTCTGAAGCATTTCACGGGAAGTCTAGAAGCATTTATCTGAGGTAGGCAGAAAGCACACACAAGAAAGTATGTAATAATCTCAGTAGGGTTTTCTGAACTCAGGCAGTTTTGTGAGAAGTAAAAAATCCTTATTAATCTGCTGCTTGGGAGACTTTGCAAATGCCTCTATCATGGTAGAAATTAACACCCTTCAATATGAGCAGTGACACAAAATCAGTTTCATCTGTACTTTAAGCTGCCATTTATTGTAATGTATGTTTTTATAATAGTAATGCAAATCCAGCTGTACATGGCAAAATACCCAAAATAAAGCATTGGAAGATTGGTGGATCTAAAAGTGTATGCAGTCACAGAGAAGGAGACACAAGGCACAAAAATAAATCAGGAAATTACATATTTTGCCATTTAAAACATTTGTCACACTTAATTTCTGATTCATGAACGCTGGTGAATAAATACTTGGAATTCCTATGAATTATTCATAATAAATTGTAAATGCATAGTTGAATTTAAATATATATTGCAATTTCTAAAGTGAATAAATACAATTCTAAATGCATGCAACATTTTCTAAGTAGAGGTGTGTTTTGTGTATAAGTTCACCTTTGGAGGCGAAGGTATATATAGGTGAGTGCTGCAGTGATTTGCAAAAGGTGGAAGAATTGTCTTCTGTTTACATGCTTTCCTAAAGCTGTGGATTTTGTCATGATGCTGCATACATTGTATGGTGATGGACACCTACTTTAAGCAATATTGGCAAAAATTGAAAAATAGCAGTATGTGCACATGCCTAGTTTAGCTACAAGTCTTTTACATGGTGGCGTATCATAGAATCATAGAATGGTTTGAGTTGGAAAGGACCTTAAAGATCATCTAGTTCCAACCGCTCTGCACGTGCAGGGACAACTCCCACTAGATCATGTTGCTCAGGACCCCATCCAGCCTGGCCTCCTGGTAGACAACAAGTTACCCATGGGACAACAATCTGCCCTTGTGGCCAAGAAGGCCAGTGGTATCCTGGGGTGCATTAGGAGGTGTCTAGCTGATCGAGCTGTCTATAAATACATGAGGGCTGGGCATCAAGAAGGCAGGGACAACCTCCTTTCACTTGTGCTCTGTGATAGGATGAGGGGCAATGGATTCAAACTCGAGCACTGGAAGTTCTACCTCAACATGAAGAAGAACTTCTTTACAGAGCACTTGGAACAGGCTCCCCAGAGAGATTGTGGAGTCGCTTTCTCTGGAGACTTTCAAGACCTTTCTTGGTGCCTTTCTGAGTGATCTCCCCTAGTTTTTGGTCCTTCTCTGGCAGGGAGGTTGGACTCGATGATCTTTGGAGGTCCCTTCCAAACCCTAACCTGTGATTCTGTGATTCCAGGGATGAGGCTTCCACAGTTTCTCTAGGCAACCTATTCTAGTGTCGTACCACCCTCATACTAAGTAATTTCTTCCTAATGTCTAACCAAAATCTCCTTTCTTCCAGTTTTAATCCATTACCTCTTGTCTTCTCAGTACAAGCCCTTGTAAAAAGTCCCTCCCCAGCTTTACTGTAGGCCCCCTTCACGTACTGAAAGGCCACTGTAAAAGGTCTCCCCAGAGCCTTCTCTTCCCTAGGCTGAATAGCCCCAACTCTCTCAGCCTGTCCTCATAGGAGAGGTGCTGCAGCCCTCAGATCACCTTTGTGGCCCTCTTCTGGACTCCCTCCAGGAGTGCTCAAGGAAAACTGGGAATAAATGGATAGTTTTCTTTCTAGGGCAATGTTTAATGCGTGAAGGATAAGCAAGTTTCACTGTATCCAGTGACTGATGGGGATTTGGCAAAATGTACTTGGGTTCCCTGGTGATCACTGTCCATTTTATGTATTGATGGTGGAAAAATAGTATCAGGCTGTTTAACTAATGCCCATGTGACAGTAACATAAGGAGGGCTGATTTATTTCTTCATGCTGCCATATCTTTCCACTTTCCCTAGGTCTGATGCAGAGTTCACATTTACCTACCCCACATACTTATGCCTGAAGACATAAGTAAAAAAAATCAGTCTGCTGATGAAAATCGGCTGAGAAATGAGCATTTATTATGTGTTGGTACACCATTTTCTTTAAAAATATTCCCAGACCTTAACAATTTCTGAAGTACATATTAAACCAACATGTACATGATTTGCCAGCGTTTCTTGAAGTATTTGGTTAATCATCTTCACACACAAAGGATCAAAACCTGAAGTATGTTCTCCTTTCTAAATGATTAAGCCAAGCTTCGCATAACTAGTGAGTAGGGCTGCTAACAACAAAACAAGAGGGAAATCCATGTAATCCAGCCCCTGAAGTCATATAGTCTGCTGTGAAAAAAAAACCAAAAACAACAACAAAAACAAAACAGAAAAAAAATGGGAAAAGGAAAGAACAATGATGCCAGAGATTTAAAAAAAAAAGAAAATGACAAGATTCAACTGAAAAGAAATATAGGTTATTTCAATGGGGTAAGTTTTATTATAGGATCAATTGTTGGAGCAGGGATCTTTGTGTCTCCCACAGGAGTGTTAAAGCATTCCTTACTCAATGTTGGCATCGCACTAACCATCTGGACTGCATCTGGAGTGGTTTCTCTCATGGGTTCACTCTGCTATGCGGAGTTGGGAACTGCTCTGCCCTTTTCCGGAGGAGAATACAACCATATTAAAAGAGGCCTTGGATCCCTACCTGCTTTTGTCTTTATCTGGACATCTACGTTTGCCAAGCCAGCATCAAATGCAGCTCGAGCCCTGCTGTTTGCTGAATACGCCACCCAGCCCTTCTATGGCATTTGCCCTGCACCAGAAGTGCTGAAGAAATGCTTGGCCTTGGCTGTTCTCTGGTCTTTGGGGATTTTGAATGGCCGCAGTGTCAAGATGACTGCCTGGGTGCAGACAGTTTTCACTCTGCTGAAGATGGTAGCCTTGTCTGTAATCGCTGTTGGTGGCATAGTTCTTCTTGTTGGTGGGAGAAAGGACAGACTGGCCAGGTTTGAGGAAGCGTTCAGCTCAGAGATCCCCAGTGCGTCGCAGGTTGCTGAAGCCTTCTTCCAAGGACTTTATGCATATGGTGGTTGGTGGTCCCTCAATTATATGGCAGGTATGTCACTCCTTCAGATTTTGTTCTGCAGTTGCCCTTCTTATGTTCCTCCACTCATCTTGGTAGAACATAGCTCTCCTAAAAGACCATAGGATCTCTCATGTTTTACACGAGTCCTGTTTGTTGGTAAAAGAGGTGTAATTCCTCTCTGGGGAGGTTTGGTGCTTCTTGTGCACTTTTCAGAATCAGACTGGCATTTCTAAAGTAGTACTGGAGGAATCAGAATGGTTAATTCAAAATCTCATGTATAAACAGATTTTTTTTCATGCCTTAAAAAGTTGCATTTGGTTTTTGTCAGTACATTTTTAGAAAAAGATTAAGTTATCCATGTCAGACTATGTGCATAGTAAGGACCCAATCAAAAAAGATAATTGATAAATTTGTATTTAAATATCTGTGCCATCTCTCAGGTGATGCAGCTGGTGTGTACATGGACAAATTTGTTCTGAATTGTGTTAAAATACAGTAATTTTACAGGATAGATAGGATGGTCAGTAGTCACTTCCTTAGGAAGATAGTTGTGCACAGAAGGTGAAGAAGCAGCTAAGAGAAGTGAGATACATCTTTTTATATAACTTTTGCTCAATTTTAAACATTCAAAACCTTTTTGAATATCCATTCATTTTTCCTATTCTGTTTCTGATGACACGTGGCAGTATCAATAGAGTATTTTTCATGAAAGCTGTAGAGACAATGTTCATATTAGTTACGTTCGTCATTAGTTAAATGAATAGTGTTTTAGATTTATGGAATCGAGTTGTAAGCAAATGGATATTGCTTTTATATCTTTACCTCTGTTTATCCATTGACCTCCGTTGACCACATGTAAAACATTAAATAAACTGAATGAAACACATGACACAAAGTTCAGTGGTGAGAACAATGTGAAAATTGGGTTAATGTTAAAAAAAAATCACCCATGCTGTTACAATTCAGCTATTCCACTGGTAACTATATACTGCAATAAAGAAAAGTGATGGAAATGAGCTAAGTATAATTTTAAAATCTTAGGATTTCTTTAAAGGCAAACATTTAGCTTTATAAGCCTGACAAAATACAAAATTAATGGTAAAATAGTAATATTTTCTGATCAGCTAGCAGTAGCAGTAGCTACCATTCACTGGGCAGCACAGCTGTTAAGCCAGATGCAACCAATGCAATAGTCCTCTTCTGAACTGAATTTCCAATTCTTCAAGAGTAGCTTCATTTGTGTGAGCTTCAGCTAACACTTCAGGTGCCAGCTGGACAGCAGAACTGCAATGAATAGCAAAAAAAATGGAATGACAAATTTAAGTTTGCAGTTGTAGTGATTTTCCTCTTCTGGGCTCAAAATTACCAAGTGCATTTCTTATATTTGAAATAAATCCCAAAGTCTTTGATAACCCGTATCTGAATGTCACTGTTGTGCTCATTCAGTCCCTCTGGCGCTGTGCACTACAGGCAATGCTGTGGCAGGCTCAAAGATGATGTTCTGGACAGAAGACAAATTATACTTGAGGGAGGAAAAGGATTTGCGTGTCCTAAAAAGAGCACATTTCACTTTTCACTTCTTCCCCCATGTGAGTTACTGCTTGGTAATACTCAGGAAAACCTTTTTTAATACTGAGGAAAATGGAGGGGGAGAAGGAATGAGAGGGAAGAGATGAAGGAGTGAAAGAGATGGAAAGATTCTTTTTGACTCAGACAAGGATAAATTATTAGGGCTCTGAAAACCAGCTCCATCTTTTACTGCAGCTATCACATGATCAGGAATGTGTGCCAGTGCCTCAGTTGCTCAGCTGCAAAGTTTGTAGTTTTTGTCTGCTAGCCTTGCCTTGGGAAAGATAATTAACAGCAGAATCCAGCTGGGATTGCCCCCCTTTTAAAGCCACTGCATTACTGCTCTTTTGTCAGTACCTTTAGTCTCTTCTGACTATGTTTTCTGTATTTCTTGGTATAAGAGTGAAGACAAAGGTTTTGTGCAGGAATAGGAAAATACTCAGAAAGTTTCAGGTCAAGTCTAGTGAGGTGATGTAAGAATAATTAAGCTGACTGTAAAGTCTGATGTTCAGGCTTGTGATTTAAAAGTATGTCTAGTTGAAAAGTTCTTACTAAACAAATTTTCTAATATACGTCAAGTATTTGTTAAATAAAAGAAAAGTTATCACAAAATGGTTTGGACTGGAAAGGATCTTAAAGATTTAGTTCCAACCCCCCTGCATGGGCAGGGACACCTCCCACTAGACCAGGTTGCTCAGGGCCCCATCCAGCCTGGCCTTGAACACTTCCAGGGATGGAGCATCAAACTTCTGTGGGCAACCTGTGCCAGTGTCTCACCACCCTCATAGTGAAGAATTTCCTCTAGTATCTAATCTAATTACCAGCCCTCTTGTAACTTTTTATCAGTCTATCAGGCCTCTATCTGTCCCTTCTCTCAAGATAGTAAAAATATCTATGTAAGAAAAAAGATATTTGAAACATGAAAAGTATTTTGTTTAGACTTCTTTGATGATAAATTATTTGAGAAAAACTGTAGGATCTTGCAAGCCATGTAGCTTAGGACCCATGATTAGGGGTTGGGGCAGGACTTTGGTGACAGTTTTGACAAGCTCTGTGCAGATTTGCTACTGAAACACACTTACAGAAGTTTCATTGATTGCTTTATTAGTTTTTATAAATTATATTTTTCAGAAGAGATGAAAAACCCTAGCAGAAATATCCCCTTGACCGTGATGACTGCTGTTCCTGCAGTAATTGTTTTTTATTTACTAGTGAACATCTCATATCTGACTGTCCTCACACCAAAGGAAATAGTCTCTTCAGGTATGCATTTGGTTTTTTTTCATTTTAAAGTGAAAAAAGTGGGGTCCATTAGTGTACACATCTGATGTCAACTTACTGTTCATCTAACTTTACAGTCAGGAAGTTTGGGTTTCATTCTAAGTTTTAACAGAGTATTCTTGTTTAATTTTACTGTATGGCACAAACTGGAGTGAATGCAGACAGATATTACTAGATCTTGAAAATGTTGGCTTATACCTGCACTGCCTAAAAAGAAATCAGAAGTATATTAAAACCTGGAAAATTGTGTGAAGATCAGGTCTCTGTTGCATATAGAGAAGACCCATATTTTCCTGTAGATTTTAATAATCTCTCCTTCCTCCCCAACCTCATGGTGTCTCAGGCTAAAGCCATTACTATTTTTTGTAGAAAAATCTGTGGACACAAAAGTGCAGCCATTTTCTGTGTCTGTGTGTTATTCATGATAAATATGTGATTCCTTAGAAGAGCCTATACATAGGTCAAATTTATGTAAAGCCTCTCTCAGATCCTGCATCAATAAGCTGTCCAGGAAAAGGTCCAACAGGAGCTGTATTTCTCCTTGATTGCACATACAGCACCTTTTAAATTCCACTCTAATGGGACTGAGTTGTCAGACTTTGCTTCCAGGAGTGACAGAAAACATACAGCATCTGGATGGAACAATCTTCATGTATTTATTTAATTATTTTCTGTGAAAACAGCAAATAACATAAATGGGAGCCCGTGTAGCCGTCACTCATCAACCTCGAGTTGCTCAGCCATTACCAGGCTATCTGCTGGGAGAGATGCATACAGCTGCAGATCCAGCCAACAATGAAAGGGACAGTGGATACTGGACTATCCATGAATAGCAGCTGCCCAGCTGGCACAAGCAGCTCCAAACATACCAGCAGAGCTGTGCTTATCTGTGTCAGCTGAGGAGAAAGCCTTGAAATTATAGCTCTTTTTGCTATGCATTGCTATGCATTGCTGCAGTTCTTGTTAGTTCACTACATTTTTGGGGGGTTGTTTTCCCCTACTCTAATAACCTCCAACACAGTACAGATCACTGCGAGAAATATTCCTTGTGACAGCTGGTTATAGACCCAGTCAGTATTAGTCCTTGCCACAGTCCAGGCTGTAGCTAATTTCCAAGAAATATTGGATATCTCTTATTCAGAAATAATCTTTCCTGTTTCTAGCTAAAGAAAAAACTCATTAATAATAACACACTCACTGACCTGCCTCTGCATGTACATGCTCTCATGTTGGCAGTTTCTTCGTAACAGTAGATCATGTCACCATGGTGGTCACACTGGGAACTAATATGTTCATTTTCTTCCCTGCATGGCCCTGCCTGTGTGAGTTCACATGTGATTCATGGTGGTGAGATGCGGCTTGTTCCTGCTGGGCAGTCCGTTACCCTGGGATGGGTCCCAGCAGGTTTACCAGGCATGCTCTGGCAGGCAGCACTTCTTGCTGTCACCCCCCCTGGAAATTTTTAACTCCTGAATTAAGTACTTCTAGGATTAGATTATTCATGTTTTTGACTACTGCAACAAAAAACCAGACATTGCTGGTAAATAATGGGTATTTAATATTTTTTAAGTTTAATTTCTGTTGAGTCTGTCAGTAATTCAGACGATACCTACACTACAGTAATGCTTTGCTTTCTTGCAGTTGCTGTGGCAGTCACTTGGGCTGATCGAGTGATCCCCTCTGTTGCCTGGATCATTCCTCTCTCTGTTGCTGTCTCAATATTTGGTGCCCTCAACAGCAGCATGTTCACACTTGGTCGATTAAGCTATGCTGGAAGCCAGTCAGGACATTTACCTGTTTTAATATCCATGCTTAATGTCCACTCCTGTACTCCAGCACCAGCCATGATTTTTTCAACCATCATTGCATCAATTTTTATAATCCCCTCTGACCTTCTTATGTTAACAAATTACTTTGGATTTTCTGCCTGGCTTATGATTGGAATGACTTGTACAAGCCTGATTGTACTTCGATACCGGGAACCTCACCTGCATCGACCATACAAGGTAAATGGAAATAAGTTCTAAAATAATTTTACAGATTTTTTTTTTTTTTTAGTAGCATGCAAAAGTTACAGAACAAAAGCAAGACAAAAGTGGCTAGAGACTACAAAAATAAATTATGGTTGTAATGTAGAGCCTTATGCAACCACTTGACTTCACACCGTAGAAGGAAAAGAAAAAATTTCAGATGGCCTCTGCCACAAAGAGCTTGCCCTTGAAAACAAGGGATGGATATATGCAAAACGGGTGAGATGTGCAAACAATGTGAAATGGGAAACCATAGCAGTGTGGAGCAGTAACCAGAGTAGTGTGGGATCCAAAGTGGCCATTCATGGTTAATTAAACTTTGATCTATTCTGATCTTTCTTGACACAGCCACAGACACTAAGGATAAATTTAATTTAATCTCAATCTAGCTGTCAGAAACATGGGTTAGAGTTGTATGCTTATTGTCAAGGCTTCTTGTAGGCATCCAATCCTGAGTTTCTTCTAGGTGC